TTAAAGTGCTGATTAAGGGCTTTTCATACACAAAGATGTAAGCTGTCACTGTGTGCTATTTGTATGCCATTCTGTAATTATAGTGGAAGTCTATGCAGTGGCTTGTTTATGGGAAAACATGTTATTTCAGTGACATAGCAGTGTCCATTACTATAAAAAAAATCAAGAACAAGACTAGAAGACATTAGTAATTAAACCAAATGTCAGCTAGGATGATTCGTCCAATTTTCATAAAGCTATTCATATTTTGTAGCACTGAAACACAGCGTATTGTGAAGCTGCTATTTCTTTTTGTTTTATTCTGTGTACAAGTAATTTAGCAATTTTTGTTAGTAACTTTTGAAAGTTACTCATCTATTCATATGGACCATAAAAGCTGCACCAGCGTGCCCAAATACCTTCCTTATGGTTTTTATTTAAGTAAGAAATGTAGATTCAGTGATGAGTATTTCAAAATTACCTTCATTATGTGTAAATAGAAGGGCCTCATTTTCAGATGTAAGGTTTTACAAAATTACCTTCTTTAATTACAAGTTGTCTATGAATTTGCTAAACCTCTTCCAATGTACAAGAGAAATACTGTCTTTGTTCTATTGTTTTTCTGATGGCATAAAGAAGATACTAAAACCAGGAGTGTTAAGACCACTTTCATACCTCAATTGTGCTGCCTGCACTAGAAAAATTCTACCTTTTCTCAGCATCAGAAAGATATTTGAGATGTATTATTAAGCTTGAGGTCTTCATCTTATGAAGCAGCAGAAAGTTTTCCTTGCTTTCTTGCGTGTATTCATCCACCATGTTGTTAGAAGAAAGCCATCCTACCAAAATGTGATAAGGGATTTACATTCCACAAACACTGAGTTTTTTTTGCCTGAGAGATTATTTTTTTCTGAAACAGAGGATTCAGAAAGGCCTTATTCTCCCCACGAACCAGAAGAGGAAACCAATGAGATTGAACGGCAGCGATCCAAAGCCCAGGATGCAATGGCGCAAAGCCGGCCGAGAACTCATTCACCTTCAGGCTCCACAGGCAGTGATGACAGTGAGAAAAATGAAGTAATAAGCACACAGCAAATGTGTAAGGAATTTACCTGATTTGCAAGTGGTCAACAATTTGAATTATATAGTACCAAATTCATTGCAGTGAAATTGCTTTTTGCTTGTTTTAGCTCAGATTGTTTCATGTGAAGTAAGACTAAGAGATCAGTGCAAAGGAACAACTTGCAATAGGTATGGTAACTTTTACAGTTGTCATTCTGCGATTATTATAAAAGGCTATATTTGTATGTGAGCTGGAATATTTTCCCTTTTTGTAATCCCAGGATTTAAGACCAAGTTGTATTTTATTTTCTTAGGTATGAATGTCCTGCTGGCTGTTTGGATAGCAAAGCCAAAGTTATTGGAAGTGTACATTATGAAATGGTAAACATTTTAAAATTAGATTCTGTATCAGTGGATTGTTTAATGAAATGTCTTTTCTGTTGGAATACTAGTTAAAATAATATTAAGAATAGATTTTGAAGGAATCCATATTCACTAAAAATAAAAGCCTACACCAAATGTTTACAATAGCATCAGACAATGCAGTTTGCATCTGCTATTCCGTATATACTGTTCGAATGTACCTCGTACTTCTTAAACATGCACAGAAGTAGAATTTTTGTGTCTGCATGTTTGGGTATAAATATGTGAAGGTGCGACTTAAGGAGAAATACACCAATTTGTGAGTACACTCATATAAGTAAGGCAGGCCTACCTGTGTAAGCTTAATGCTGGCTGAAAATATATAATTTACTCTGTAGAAGTAGAAAAATTATATAGGTAATAACAGCTACTGTGAACAAGTATACTGTGAGTATAGTTCACCTCTGAGTAAGGCAAAGTGGTGTTTTCTTCATTTGAAATAATACCTACGTAGACCACATCAAACTTAATAGACTATCTACCAAGTTTTTAATGACACATGGTAATTAAAACCATATTTTTTCACAAATAAATTACAATGTGAAATAGTGGCTTTGTCTGACATGGAACTACTTTTCTTGCTCTGTTTTTCAGCAATCCAGCATTTGTAAAGCTGCCATACATTATGGCATCCTAGATAATGAAGGTGGTTGGGTTGATGTCACTAGGCAAGGAAGGAAAAATTACTTTATCAAGTCTTACAGAAATGGCATTCAGTCAATTGGGTAAGTTTTCTTAAAATGTATGGAAAGTTTTTCACCTTTTTCTTTTTATTTCATGCAAAATATATGACTAATAACATTTTGTTCATACTTTTTTCATAAAGAATATGAAAATGCTATAAATAAGCGTATGGATATACAGGTAGTGTATCCATTCTGAAACTTTAGCCAGTGTCTAATGGTGCACTGAAAATTGATGCAATGAGGATGCGAAAGAAGGTGAAATAATTTGCAAAATCAGTTGGGCAGTAAGTTAATATTTGTGGTTAAATAATCTAAATATTTGTGGTATTCAGTTAATTAATTTGTAAGTGTATATATTTATTGTAGAAAACTAGTACATACTGGCACTGAACTAGATTGTTTTACATGTTTTGGACAAAGCTGGTAATATTTCCAGGGTTGGCCCATGGACACAGTAATCTATGACAGCTAAGGCGGCAATAGTATTTTGTGTTTGGAATTCACCCTCTTGTACTGTGCATATGAGCAATATGACCCAAGTAGAAAATATACCTCTTCCTGTATGTTTGATAGTTTCATCACAATTCCACAATTTACATATGATATTTTGTGCCAATATTTTTCAAAATTTCTGCATTTGCCAGTGATGGAATAATATCGCATACTGTGGAAGCGTCATTTGGAGAGACACTATGAACAGTGGTTCAGGTGCTTGCCCTAAAACTGTTATGTGCAAATAGGTCCAAGTACTTGTTGACATGCTAAAAGGAAAACCAGAGAAACAGAGTGTGAAAGTGGAGAATACTTTGTTGTTTCCATATGTAATTATGCAATCATAGGACATCGATATTAGTATCGATATCTTGAATCTAAGATATTAATAGTATTTGCAGATTACACTTCAGTGTATCTAAGGGTATTCTGCAGAGATGTACTTTGCTATCATCATTTCTGTCTCTAGTTAGTATATGTGTAATTGTAGTATGTGTGTAACAATTAATGTACAAGTAATGTCAATCTGAAAGAAAACAGAATTTTGCCGAGTGACATTTGGCTCAGGTGTGAACCCGAGGGTAAGGAGATAGGTAATCCTTAGAGGCTGTTCTCACTCTGTGCTGTGCAAATGAATGTCACATGCTATGACACCTTCCATAATTTCTCTTTTCAAGAGATTTACCTAGTCCTGGAAAAAAAGAAGGATCAGGTAGACTAAATTCATTGGCCTACTGGCTACTTGGGTAGCACTTAAGGTGTTGATATCAGTCGATTTCTTTGGGTGATCTGATGATTTGACTGTGGTTAAGTTAACCCCCTTAAAATGAAGAGACATGCAGACAAACATCTCTTTTTTAAATGCTTTGAGACAAAAGAGAGAAGTAAATCTTGATTATATCAATACTAACAATACTAACATATTATGATCCAGCTTTCTTACAAATGTAGGAGTAGTTAAACTGTATAAAATCTTCAAACTAGATGGAATTATTTCCCATCACTTGAAAACTGTTTCTATGCCATCTGAGACAAAACTGTATGAGTGTTCAGTCTACAGAGTGTGTTTAGTACTTATCCTCTGAGAATCAGAACACAGAGCGTGGTAGTAACACTTGGTTTTGTTTGCTGTGGGCATGGATATTCATATCATTGCTGAAAAGTAATGGTGGTTTTGGTTTTGTGATTCGAATGTTGTAAAGAAAAATTAGATGCCTTACAGATGAAACACCATTAAAGATCTATACTTTCCTATCTACAAGTATACTTCAGGAAACACCTGCCTCTATGTGTGCACACAGATGACATAATTCTTCATTAATGTCCTATAGTATTTAGGTCATCACCTTTTAGAGTAAACTTACAAAATACTGTGATCAGCCATCAGCTTCATAAGTCAGTCTATAAATCAAAGTCTTTGTGATAAATAAAGATGGTTTACCAAAGTTTCAACCTCCAAAAGGCCCATCAATAAGGCCAGGGATACCCTGCAGCTGCCTGACTCTCACCAGTGTCACCAGATGGATTCTTGCATACAGTACATATTTGTTCAATGAATAGACAAAATGAAGTGGATCTCGCCTCTAGAGCATATTCCAAAACAGAAAGGCAGAAAAGGGAATGTCAGCGCAATATACAGCAAATTTCCTAAGCTTCAGCTCCATATTTATAATCAGGATTGCTAATACAGATGCTTTTTCTACTCTTGCATTTTCGTAGCATAGAATACCATTTCTAACAATATCTCAGCAAGCTAATCTACAATAGAATACAGTGAATTATTCCCACATCAGTGTTTGACAATGCTAGGGCAACGGAAGTATGAGCTAAGTCTGTGAAAGCAAATTGGAATCCAATAAATGAGCAAATGTGAAATTCATGGGCCATACAACTAAATAAACCAATGCAGGCAAACAGTTTCTGAATACAAATTGCAGTGCTATGGAGCACACAGGAATTATTTGCTCCAAAGGTGAATAAGGAATAATTCCCTGGTGTTTTTTTTTTAAATAATAAATAACTTTATGGGTGCCAAAAAGCATCAGCTTCTTTGTTACAGATGAAAAATATTAGAGGCAGAGGCATAGCCAATGAGTTACAAGAGTAGAAGGGGAGTAAAATGAGAGATAAAGAGTAGTAAAATAGAAGTGTTTATCAATTGTAATGTAACAACAGAATGTATATAACTGACTTTATGTAACAACAGGAAACAGATACATCTGATTACCATATAATTACTGAGAAAAACAGACTGTTACATGCTATACTGGGTTTATAGTGATACTGGTAATAATTTAACGTAGACAGAAGATCCAAAAGTAAAATTTAATGAAATTTTTCAAAAAGGCTGCCAGGAGAACTCTTTTCAGTGTTGGAGCTCTTTGTAAGAATGAACCTTTCGGGGGGAAGCGAATGATCTCTTCTGGTAGATGGATGCTTCTGAGCAATTCTCAAACACAGATTTTGGTTCCTACATTTTAAGGGACAAATAGATTGCATAATTTGTTCCTCTTAGTAAGTTAAATTACTGAAAGAGTTTAACATGCATTCCTGGTTTTCAAACAGATTTACTGGGAGTAAAAAGTAAACTTATTGTAATAAATAGATTAACAACTGTGGGGAAGGGATGCTGTGAGTAAAAATTGGCTGTGGAAAATGTCTTGAGTTTTTTTTCTAGATTCTCTAATAACAATTGTCCTAGCTGGAAGGAATCATTGAGAGGTGTTATTTAATAACTATTTGTATTATTTCTTTTTCAGAAAATATCAGTCTGCTAACTCCTTCACTGTCTCTAAAGTAACAGGTTAGCATTTTTTCCTTATAAACTCAGTACCACTTTGAGTTGTTTTTTCTAAATATCACACATTTATTCATTCCTGTTTTACTTTCTTCAGTTCAAGCTATCACCTGCGAAACAACAGTGGAACAATTGTGCCCATTTCAAAAACCAGCCTCACACTGCCCAAGGTAAAATTCTTTGAGTCTTATTAATTCAAAGTGCTGCCATATTTTCTGTCCGTTATTAATTGTCTATAGTTGTCATTGATAAAAGTGACCACAGTAGCTGTAAAAATGAAGCCAGAAATGTTTTACCGGTATTATAGTGTTTGGTGTAAGGTAGGTAAAGATGATCTGCAGTCTTTTTCATTAGGAGAATCTCACTTTCTTCGGTCCGTAAAGATTTTTCTTTGGTCCCTTGGCAAATCTTGGTGAAACCATTGTTGGTTAGACCAAAGATTGCAAAGTAAAATGCATTTTACTTTTTCATTGTCCACTATTAAATCTATGCACCTTGGGAAAAATACACTTTATTTCAGTTTATTTGCCTGTAAAACAGATACAATAAAAGGTTATGATACAGTTATTTATCATAGAAGTTATCAAGTTGTTTGGGAATTTTGGAAGAGAGAGTAAGCAAATACATTTGCAAAAAAATTGAAATGTGTACTGTTAAGGTAAGGTATGTTCTGCAGGTCAGTTAACAGCTTTATTTTAACTCTTCGAAAGGAGCCTGTGCCACAATATTTTGAGGAAGGAAATTGGTAACAGTTCTTAAAACCATGTATGAATCAAAGGTAAATACACTGTAGCATGATTTACCGCAAGCTAAGCTGGAGATATCCACAGGATTACTTTCATAGCAATCCTACAGCCAATACAGGAAGCAAGTACAAAGCCAGAACTGCTAGGAAAACATCCCTTCATGTAGCATTTGGGTCCATGGACTTGTTTGGTATTTGGCTATGACTCCTGGCTTTCTAGCTGGAAGATGTGGAGAAGTAAGCGGAGTGGAATGCAGGAACGGATGGGTACAATGTCATACTTATATTTTTTTCCTTTTTACTTTGTTATTAAAAAGTAAAACTAGCTTCATTAAGAGAAAAATAAGGTCTGTCTTTAAGAAAATTTAAAAATAAAAATAAGATTAAAAATGACTGATTAATCTTGATGCATCAGTTTAAGGAATTTCACAACATTTATTCATTCAAGACTCTGTGTATGCTCTTAACTTAATTCTGAAAATGTAGTCTCAGGAGTTACAAGTAGTAATCAGCTGTGGCATTGATTGCACAACCATAAATCAGTGGATCTTCAAAAGGCCTCTTTGGCATCTTAGCTGCTTCAGACAAAAATCTCTTTCCTAGCTGCATCAGCCTGTTTTAATTACTCATTTGGTAAGACTGTAATATGCCCAAGTGGTGTGACATGCCAAATCTCGATTAGAGCATGGATAGCATCCCAGAGAAGAACGCTTGCCCAGGGCTGCCCCGTGTAGGGTGGTTCCAAAGCCATTAGAGCATGACCCATTTTTTAAATGAAACAGCTCAGAGTAGACCTGGAGCTGACTGGCACTTCTTCCTTGTAGCATATCGCAATTGCCAAACAAGATGCTTGACACCTTCTATACTGCTGTTAGCTTCCCACGTGGCTTCCCTGTGCATCTTGGAGCTATAGCAGGCATGAATCACAGAGAGAATTTTGTGCAAAGGTTAACAAAATGCCATTTCATGAAGACAGTCTTTGTTTCAGTAGCTTTCTGATCTGCTAGAATCAGCTAGGAATGTCATTACCTTCCAAAGTTTTTCATTTTAGCCACAGGTGCCAAGTTCTCACCCTCATTATAACTTGCTAAATTGGCTTGCATCACCAGGTCACCAGCATCATAGCAGATCCGTATTCAGATGTGCCTCTCCTGTGAAGGTATTCAACTATGCAGTTTGTATAGGATGCTGTAGAAACATAATAATATGAGTGAACAGTCTCTCTTCTCACTGGCTTTTCTACTGGACTCACATATGTTGAACAAGAACACCATCTTCTTTTCCAGAGGGAAGAAGACTAGACCTGTTGAATTATGTTTTCAAGCACTTTATTATGAACCACAACTTACATCAGCAACACTTTCATGCGTATTGTCAAAGCCTCAAAAACTGACAGCTTTTTGTATCAGTATGGACCCATATGTATGCATCATCACATTGATTTATACTCAATAATGCTGATGCTGAATACAATATAGTAATACTCTGATATCATTCTTCCTAATTGTATGTGGTTTATTTTTGATATTTCAGGGTGTATTGTCCTCACAACTGTATGCAGGCAAATCCACACTATGCTCGCGTAATTGGAACACGAATTTATTCTGATGTAAGTATAGTGATTTACATTGCATTATACAATGAAGTATAAAATCCTATGAAAAGCTACAATGTAAGGATAATAAGATATAATACAGATATCTGTATCAATACAGATATTGATTTTTCCTCCGTGTGCTGATTTTTACACAGTCTTTTCAAAAGTTCTTTTTCAGATGCGCCCATTTAAGTTAGTAGTACTCAGCTGCTGAAGATAAAGAAAGTTATGTGAAAACTCAGTGTAGACCTCAGTAGACTCTGGACTTATATTTCAGTTTTTTATCAAAATTCCCACTGATTTGTTCAGTATTGGCATTCAGTGTTTATTCATTTAAACTCTTGCTCTTTAGATCCTGATGCAATCATAACTTCTGTCAGATTAAATTAACCAAAAAAAATTATTCTGAAAATAAATACCCACAGTCTCATTATTTTGTATATTTCTTACCTATGTAGATCGCTAAATGTTTGCAGCAGGATTTTGTTATGTTTGTGTAAAGTATCTCACATTGTCATGTTATTTTAACAGACTAATATTGCATTTTTTGTTGTTTGGTTTCCTAGTCAACTTTTGTTTTCTGTCTTTTCTACCTCATGTTTAGTTCTGAAGTGGGTAGAAAGAATGAAAAGAAAATTCTTTTTCATGCCTCTCCTTTGTCATCTCTCTATGGAGAAGCCAGGATGTAGCAGAGCGAGCAACTGTATGTTTTAACTGTCTTTTAGCTGTCATAAGAAATAATTTGGCAACTAGCTGGGTCAGATTATGATTTTCAGTGCTTTCCAGTGCTTTGAAATGTATGAAAATAATATGCAAATATTTATTCATAATTATTTTGAAACTAACTAACGTCTGTTAGATTACCTGAGTAACTTGGATCCCTGTCCTGAAAACACTCTTGTCTGTACGTAGCGTGACATGCGTGAGTACTCCCAGTTCAGGAAGTAAATTGATTTCTGCATGTGGAACTTGGCCTATGTGTATAAGAGGAGCAGTGAAAATACATTCAGTGAAAGTCCATTTTGTGGAAGATGATTTTCTTTCAGTCCTGTGGTTGCAATCAAAGGTTACAGCCCAAGTTTCCCAGTGAGTTAGAAAAGACCTTGTTGGAGGAGAAACAGGATCCATTTCTGTTTAACTTACACAGGGGAACAACTCAGAATATCTATGTGCTTTGGCTGGAGAAGTAAGTCCCAGATGACTTTAATTGGAATTATAGTTATGCTTGAAAATTATTTTAGATGTACTATCTCATTATTCATCTCCATTGTATAGAAATGTGTGCAGCCATACTGCTTTTAGGAAAAATGGACATAAATACAGGTAAGAAACCAGGGATGGGCGTCTTCTTATCAACTTCAGATGCTGGCAGGGTAGATATCTACACTGAAGGTGCTATTCTAGGTTAAGTTTATAGTAGTTTGTACTACATAGAGTATAGTGGTAAAGGAGATAAATAGGCATCTGCAGAGCAGAATTCAATTGGCCTTTTCAGAATGTCTACTGCAGTATGAGATGACCTGCCTGATAGAGATGTCTATTCCTCTCCATTTCTTACAGAAGGGTCCTAAGGAACTTAGACGAATTTGTTTTACCTATATTTGTACAGATGTTCCCATCGATGGTATCAGTGTTATGCAGTTTGCTACAATGTTGCTTTGTTGCTAACATTTAAATTATTTTAAAACTAAGATGCTTTTTATTGAAAATTTTACTAAATAATTGGGTATTTTGTATACTACTGAACTAGTTTCAGATGAAATATTTATAGAGAATAATCTATTTAATAAGTGTGTCCTCTTTTGCAGTTTTTCATGTATTCACAGACAGATTTGTTCATAGATACGGAGAATTCATTTCCCACTTGTCATAGCAAATGTATTTGAAATTGCAGTCCATGACCTACTTGGTTGATTCCACAAAACAGATGGGGCTTTTGTGATGTTCCTGCAAATTCTTTTATTTCAAAAGTGCGTATATATGTATGTGGATGCACATGACTGTTTATTTGCACTACAGCTTAGGCCACTTGCATTCAGTAAATGACAAAGATTTTGCAGAGATATTAAGAAAAAAAAGCAAGCAACATAATAGATGTCACTACTGCAAAAAGATACGTTTATAAAACCATTTTTGTAGTATTAATGAAAATCTAGTTAAAATTTTCCTTTTCTGGCTTTGGTCTGATTAGACATTCATTCTTAAACTCATTTCATATTTTACAGTGACTTCTTTTCCTCCCTGCTCCTGACAAAGGTGGTTCCCTGGTTTATCAGTAGTGGCCCACAGAATTTTTACCCTTTTTTCCTCCCATTGTTTTTTTTGCTTTGACATTGCAATGACTGTCCCTAACTTTATTGAAACAAACCCCCCATTATTTCATACTGCATTTTTCCAGTCTGCTAGCTATTACCTCTTTGTGGCAGATAAATTACAGCCATGTTTCATATAGCCAACTTCTACAAACTAATGTGTGTGGGGAGTTTTCACATAATACCCATCTTCTGTGCTCTTTACTTTCTATTTTGATGTCCTTTTGTTTTACTTGTCTTGAGGTAGATTGCAAGCTCTTTAAAACAAAAATATCTCTTATTCTCAGTTTATGGTACAATTAGTTTCTTTTCTGAATAGAACTATTACGGTATGAATAAGAACTGCAATATGTGTCGTTCTCGGCAGACAGAAGTACAAATTACTCATTCTTCATACAGCCCAAACACATCGCCACGTTTGTGCTTTGTGTCCCTGTTGACCCCACTGCTAAGAGTTTCCACATAGCAATGCTTTGTCTTGATGGGAGACCAGGAAAAAAAAAAAATGTTTCCTTCTATCTTGTGCTGAAAAGTTGGTTCCACCTTTCAACTTTGGTTAATCCATTTTGAGTCTTATGTCTGGAATTTCATAATCGTGTCATGTTGACAAGCATTTTAACAGTATATTTTTAAAGCACTTTTAAATATGACCTCATTTGTGAAATAAAATAAAAACCTTCCCAAGAACTGAATCACGTCAGGCCCATTGTGATTGTCTGAGCTCTCTTGGAGATGATCTTGCAGCACCTGCCTATACAGAGATTGTACTTTGTTGTTGCTGTTAGTCCCTGGATTATCAAGGTACTAAAATAACAAACATTTTCACAGAGAAAAGGAGAGGCTACAACAGTTCACTTGAAAATTCTTTCACTCGCAGATCTTTTTGATAAAATTTTATTTTAATGGACACACCTTAGATGTGTATATGGTAGAAGTTCTTAACCACATTCCAGTTGCCTTATAAGAATTTCTAAAGAGATTAAGGTTTATATTTATCCTGCTGTTTTCACAGAAGGCAACATTTTTCCAAAGAGAATCTCTTACTTTACTTTACATTATGGGTGTTGATTGAGCAAGTCTAAAAAAAAAATGAGCCTCCTTTTGGGGATTAAAGATCAACAGAGGTCTTTTATCTAAAGAATTTGATGGAGTTGTATATTTTCGTACTGTCTGAGGACTTTGGACATATTAATTTTTGTGTTAGTAACCGTATATGGAAATACTTCCCTAATACTTGTGCAAAAGTATCCATAATTCTCTGCTGTGGTAAAATATAAACAATATGATGTAAAAGAGCTACTAAATAGTTCTATAGTCCTGTGATGGTGAGGGAGAGACGCTTGTGGTTAAAATGCCTTTGCAGTGTACTGCTATATGTGGTAGATATTTGGTATTTTGCTGAGTAGCTGAAGAAGGAAAATAAACAACTTGCTATTCAGATTCTATGATCTGTTAAATACCAATGAATTTCAGAGGGTTCACAACACACCAATAAAGCAGGGTCATATAATGCTGTATGAAATGTTTATGTAAACATAAAAATACTGCCTTATATATCCTTTGGAGTGAGTTCATCAAAATTAAAGAAACAAACTCAAGTATCTGATGAAGACTTCACGAAAGTGGCATAAGGCTGCTAATGTAAAATACCAATAATATGCTGAAATTTGTGGTAGACCTAAGTGTGAAATCCTGTTCTGCTTAACTTTACAGGCGGTTTGCCTTAACAGTTCAAGGAAGTATGATCAGGATGACATAATATTACTAAGTATAGGAAATATTATGGCATCAGTACTGGAATCTGATTCCATTTAGATGAAGATTGCCAAGCCCATGAGAAGTTCCTCAAAGCTCAAAGCAAGTGATACTTTCTCAAAAAAATTATATTCTGTACAGATTGATAAAACTATATGCATTTATTAATCTCTATTCTTATAACCTAGTTCATAATTATGAATTTATACTAATTTAATTGTTCATATATTCAAAAAGTATGGACATTTGTTCTCCAATCGCATCTGTAAAGCAGCATCAGAATATCAGTTTATTTTTCATTTGAAAATAGCCTGAGTTGGTGTCATCAAAACCCCATTCTTCTGACCTCTCCTTTTTCACATATCCAATATAAGCGTCTTGCCTTTAGCTTTAAAATGTTGTGCATTAGCCTAGCCATACTTCATTGATCCAGTAACCAACTGTGGTACCAACATAACAAATGACCCCATCCTTTATGGAAATAGTTTCTAACAAGTAGTCAGCCTCTTCTGTCAAAATCTCCATCCCTTGACTTTTCCTTTCTTTTTTCACTTGACTAGAAACTTCCAAATAACGTTGGAACAGCCAGTATCTTAGCTACCCTCAAATGTTATGTGAAGGTGTCTACCTATCTAATGGCATACCAAAAATGTAGCCTTTTGGTTACTATTACAGAGGTGACAAACTTTGATCTTTCGTTTCCCCAGTTGTACCTCTAGCTTTATTTAAATATCCAATATGAACTGAAAACAAAGTTGCTACTATATTATAGTATTGGTAATGAAGAGCATTCTTCTAGTTTTTCACTGTAGTTAGTTAGTTGCTTGTAAACCTCATCTTTTGTTTCTTTAGACTGTAATCCTGTACTGCAGAGGCCATTTTTCCCCCTGTATTTTTGAAATTACACATGATCAATCTGATCTTTAGTTACTGCCATAGTATGAGTACATAAAGGATGCTGTGATCCTAAAAATAAGGCAACTACTGGTGTTCAGGATATGACAAAAGTTTTGCAGCCTTGAGAGGAAGATAAAAAATACAGAGGAGTGTAAATGGCATCCCTTCTGGCATGTTCAAAAAACTGCAGCCAGCAGTGTGAAGAGAAAAACTCTAAAGCGTCTTTGCAAAAGATTCTTTGCATAAACAATTTCAAATCTTTACTCCTAGAAATATTCTTACATTAAATGACAAACCATGTAACAGTGAAACTGGCAAGTTCTGTGCTTGGAATGAGAGTAGGAAAATCATTGCCATTTTAAATTCCTGATTTTATATAGCATTGAGATTACAAAATAGCTACAGTAACAGGTATAAATTATTCCAGTTATATCTGGAAGAAATGCAATTGTTGTCTAAATAGTGGTCTGTGTGACCAGCTGTTGATATTTGTATTGGCTACATATTTAAGGTTGGGTGTGGAGAGACCTATTGCAGTGAAGACTTTTTCCACAAAACAACTTGGCTTTAAGTGGAGATTCACTGTAACTGGAACTACACTTTGCTGTGCTGTGTATTGAAGATTGGGACCTACATTCTGGAGTAGCTAAGAATTTTCATTCTTCCGGTGACTAATTTTTAAAAAGCTGAAGGTTTTTACTACAAGTTTAAATCAATTATTTAAATGAACTTTATCAAGATTGTCACTGAGCAAACCTCCTGCAGATAGCAGATATTATTTATGCTACATAGGTTCATGAGAGGAATTAGTGGCCAGAGAATGTAGGTTTCACTCAGATGAATCTGCTGTTAACTTCACAGAGAATGTTCACAGAATCATAGAATCATAGAATACCAGCTTGGAAGGGACCTCAAGGATCATCTGGTCCAACCATTCTTGGCAAAAGCACAGTCTAGACAAGATGGCCCAGCACCCTGTCCAGCCAAATCTTAAAAGTGTCCAACATTGGGGAACCCACCACTTCCCTGTGGAGATTATTCCAATGGCTGATTGTTTTCATTGTGAAGAATTTTCCTCTTGTGTCCAATGGGAATTTCCCCAGGATTAACATGTACCCATTACGTCTCCTCTTTTCCATGTGACTTCTTGTAAAAAGGGAGTCTCCATCTTCTTTGTATACTTTAAATACCGGAATGTGGTGATAAAGGTCTCCCTAAGCCTTCTTTTCTCAAGGCTGAAGAAACCCAGTTCTCTCAGCCTTTCCTCATACGGCAGGCTTCCCAGTCCTTTGATCATCTTTGTGTCCCTTCTCTGAACCCTCTCCAACCTGTCCACATATTTTTTGTATAGTGGGGACCAAAATTGAACACAGTATTCCAGGTGTGGCCTGACAAGCACTGAGTAGAGTGGGATAATGACTTCTTTATATCTCCCGGTGATGCCCTTGTTGATGCAACTCAGCATACTGTTGTCTGTCTTTGCCGCAGCAGCACACTGTTCGCCTATATTGAGTTTGTCATCTACCATGACCCCCAGGTCCCTTTCCACAGAGCTGCTTGCCAGCCAGGTAGATCCTGGCCTGTGCTGCACTCCTGGGTTATGTTTTCCCAGGTGCAAGACCTTACACTTGTCCTTGTTCAACTTCATAAGGTTCTTGCTAGCCCACTCTTCCCACCTATCCAGGTCTTCCTGTAGGGTGGCTTTCTCTTCCAAAGTGTCCACTTCCCCACTCAGTTTCATATCATCGGCAAACTTCATCTGGGTACACTTGATCCCATCATCCAGATCACTTATGAAGATATTAAACAGTGTGGGACCCAATATCAGTTCCTGGGGGACCCCACTTGTGACAGGTTGCCAGTTTGAAAAGGAGCTATTTACCACCACATTCTGTGTGTGGCCTGTCAGCCAGTTCCCCACCCACTGCACAGACTACTTGGCTAGACCATAACACATCAGTTTCTCTAGGAGGAGGCTCTGGTAAACCGTATCAAAAACCTTGGAGAAATCCAGGTCGAAAATGCTTGCCCCACATCAACCAAGCAGGTTACTTTGTCATAGAACGTGATCAGGTTTTTCAAGCACTATTCGCCCTTGGTGAATTCGTTCTGTCTTTCCCTAATCACGTGCTTCATTTGTCTTGTGATAGCACCCCAGGAGGATTTGTTCCATAACTTTCCCAGGAACTGAAGTGATGTGCTTATAATTTCCTGGATCCTCCTTTAAGCCCTTCTTGTAGATGGAGATGACATCAGCCTTCTTTCAGTCTTCTGGGATGTTCCCCATTCTTCATGACTTCTCAAATATTTTGGAGAGTGGCATCACAATGGCATCAGCCAACTCTTAACACCCATGGGTGGATATTGTCAGGGCCCATCGATTTGTAAGATTCAACTTCTTTTAATAGTTCGCATACAAACTCTTTCTTCACTGACGGTGGGTCTGTGTTTGCGTCAACTTGGAATTTTGTTCTCAAGGCCTGGGGCCCAACAATGCTGTGTAATTTTGCTTACATAAAGTCTATGGCATTAGACTCTGATTTAAAATTATTCTTTTGAAGCAATTGGAGAGTCTTCACCTTCTCTATTTCCTCACTCAGATTTGAGGAGCTAAAGCCATTAGTCTGCCATTAATCAACTGTCATAGCTAAGGAATGATTTTAGACTTCTATCTTCTGTTTGATGCTCACTTTATACCCTTAATCTAAGTATCTTCTAGTATTTGTCCATGCTGGGGTAGGAAATGGTGATGATCCCTTTGAATATGGACTATTTCAGTGCTGTTTGAGGTTTTGCTCCTAGAGATGGAATCATTGACGTCTATCCGTCACTTTTGGGGTAGGACTTCCTCCTAGAAACACATGACTGCACTGTGCCTTTGCTGTTCTACGGTTCTCCTGTTTGGCTCTGGCTGGAGATTAAACTGAATCTCCTGGTCTATAATAATTAACTAAGGATTGGGTTTTCCTACCTCTCTGCTGCTGAAGTGAAGGCTGATCTGATCAGGCCTTTCATTTTGAAAGCCTCAAGAATTCAAACATGTTCCTGATCTTTGAACTGAAATAGCCTGAAATAAATGATTTTGGAGTCATGCTGCAGGAGGTCTTTGAAGAGACGGTGTCTGTATTCCTATAAACTGGCCTGATTCCTATGCAACAGATTTAAATACTGTAAGATTAATAAAATTAGTAATGCAATAAATATAATTATTTTATTTTTCCTAGAACTTGGTTTAAATGTCTTTATTAGTTTTCTTCTAAACATTTGTGAAATAAAAGGATGAATGAAAATTAATTTTCTCCTCATTCTTTCGTAGGTATCCAGTATCTGCCGGGCAGCAGTACATGCTGGTGTAGTCCGCAACCAGGGCGGTTATGTTGATGTTATGCCAGTAGACAAAAGAAAGGTGTACGTTGCTTCCTTTCAAAATGGGATATATTCAGAAAGGTACAGAGTCCACTTTACCTTTCACCTCGATAAGACTTTGAAAGTTTTGCATTGTGTCTGTTTGTACCTGGGTCAATGCTAGAAACCAAAGAAATAAGCCAACATAGGTGGTTTACAGAGATTGTAACAGCTGTGGTGACTTTGGAGAAGCTGTGGTACCAGAGCTGCCTGCCGCCTCTAAGCTCATAAATCATTACTCTAAAAAGCTGCTTATGAAGTAAAATAATCCTCTTGTTTACTTTGCTAGTTCTGTTGCAACTAACACAATATTTGATAAGAAAATTGCCCTTGCTTTCTTTTGGATTTTTTGATAATTAACATTAGCGATTTATTCTGTCCAAGTTAGAGCATCTGCAATAGGCGGGTACCAGTAGCTGATATGGGTTCATTGGTTCATGATGAAATGTTCAGTACTGATTTACATGGTGTTGAACCAATGAGCCTGGGTCATAAATAATATTCACAAACATTAAAATACACAATCATTAAAACATATTTTTAATTTCTTTTTTAATGGTTTGACTGTTTTTAATAGTGTTTTTCTGAAAGACATGGAGATGCTGTGAAAGTTTGTTTAGCTGTACTTAGTGTATTCGTGCGTTCTATATTGATATGGTTGCATGTTGCAGGTTAAATTTAATCCCTGAAAGAGTTCTCCAGGTTCTAAAGGAAGAAAGAGAAATTACCTTAAAAAAAAATATTATCCCAGTCTTTCAGTCCTGTAAAGCTAAGAATGACTGTTACCTCTAAAACTATAGACTTTCCAAGAAATTTGTGTGGGAAAAAAATCTCCAAAAGTTTCTGTAGAGTACTTGGAAGTAGGAAAAGATAGAGTATTTTTTTGTTATTTTTAATTGAGGGTGGGGGAATGCCTTGCCTCTTTCCCACAAACCTTTCAACAAACCTGGAAACTTGCAAAATACAGATTTCCTTTGCATAATGGATGACTTAATTTACATAATCTTTGGCCTTTCCCCATTACCATCCAGTTCCTTCAGAAAGAGTGCTTCTTTACTGACACTTTTGCTCTCCATATAAATCTCCTCATTGGGTAGAGATGTAGCCAGGAAAATTGTTGCAAATTTAACGATTATTTGTAGTTTACCATCCTGGTAATTTTGGAAGGTCAGCTGTTTGGAAAGCAGTTCCGTGCAACTTTTCTGGGAAGCAGAAGATGATGGATTGTAATGCTGTTGCAGGCAACCTGTTTCATTGTGCCTTTCCATATGTTCACCTCCATTTCTCTTTCATTCCTCAGACAGATATGCCTCAGACAGGGTTTGCAAAAGATAAAACAATGGGACCATTAAATATGACATGCTAGTTCAGTTTATAAGACAAGAATATTTATTCTAACAAAATTTAATTGCAGTTAGGTATTTTGTTTCATTTCTTTTAAAGCCAGATATTTCTCCATTCAGAAGGCATTTCCCTTGTTTTTGTAACATATTAATTCTCTTTAGAAATACATTCTTCAGCATATAAATAACTAACAAACAAATGATCTCCTAGGTCTGCAAATTCTCTCCAAATTAGTTATTACAAGAGTGAGAATAGGATGCATGCTTCTCTTTTTCCTAAAACCTTTTGTTAATATGTTCCTTCAATAGAGCTTTATTTTTTAAACCAGACTCCCTCATCAGAAAGGATTATTTGAGTATTTTTATGTTATGATTTGTTCCTAATAATCTGCCTGGAAAAAAAAAAAATCTTAAATTTATGTAAGTTTTGTTTGTACATGTTTTTTAAAAAATTCTTAGATATCCAAAGTTATCAGTAGTCACAAGAAGAGTCACAGGATCCTAGAATTGTGTTTAACAATTTCAAAAAGTTGTCACTGGAGTGTTGCAGTCTTAATAATAACATCAGGAATGTTTTTCTGTTTCAGTTTACAGAATCCTCCAGGAAGCAAGGCATTCAGAGTATTTGCTGTTGTTTGAGTCTAGCAAGTAAAATGTAAAACAGGCAAGTGAAACCAGAGCACTTGGAAGAGAATAATAAAGGCCATTTCTTATAATTCATAAAATTTGTATAAAGCTGTAACATTATTGTACAGAAGATGTATACTGCTTTCCACCAAAAAGTTTAAATTACATATATATCTTAATGAAAAAAAATCTGTAAAAGTAAACATGGGAGAAAAATTAATTTGAAAATCTATGATATATAACAATATTTTGAATCCTGTGTTAAATATTGCTATATTTTCTTAGCAGTTACTCCTATACAGTTAATTCAAAGCTCATAAATGTTCTTTGTTTTCTTCATCTTATCGTATGGTGCTTTATATATGCCACTAACAGTAACCTTAAAATTATGCCATAGGGAGGCCTGAGTTTTTATTTCCAATGTACATAAAAGAAGCCATCCAAATAATTCAATATAATAAATCATGCCTTAAAGTAAAATAAAAATACATATAACTTTTTGATGATTTACAGTAGCAATAGCCATGCAAGCGTAAATGAAGAGCTAGACTGTTTTCAATTTCACAGTAAACATAACAAGTATAAATACCTATTTTGAAATGAAATGGAAATTTTAAAATATAGGGAAGTCCTTGGTCATATGAGCATGTTTCCCTCTAAAGAAATATTATTAAGAGACTGGGCCATTCATGTTTATTATTTCTTAAATATGTTAATAAAATGTTTATTGGATGCTGCTAAGCTCTTTAGTTCGAATAACGAATTCATTATGTCCCAGTCCTTCACAGATATTCAGCTAACTTGGGATGGGTGAGTGAGAGCAAGACATATATAACCTTGAAGGATCTGGGAAAATTTTTGTCTTCAGAAGTGGAGTAACATGAAATTAAGGAATAGAATCAGTTCTGCAATGCAATTCTGCACATATACATGCTTTATTTTTCCCATGTGCTTTATTTTTCCCAAGTGACTTCTTCAATTTACCTAAATTGGGTTTCAGCAAAAACGTAGAACTCTACACATACATAAAAACTTGCAAGCTTGAGGCCTTAAGCTGTACATGGTATCCGTATACTATACATTAATATGAGGGTAAATGTTCAAAAAAACTTAAAGAAAATGGTAATAAAGGCTAACCTTGCTCCTCATGACCTGGCAAATACTCCTGCAGGCCAGGAAGTATAGTGGTACGGAGCCCAGTGACAATTAAGTCATTTGTTTCTTCACCATTTTTAAAGATTCATTTATGGTGAACAGCCTTGTGCATTAATTTTACCATATTATGGTATATGAAGAACATGTAGTGGTGGTACTATGTTTCTTTCTATGAAAAGTGTATTGGTGCTTTAAGACTGAAAAGCTGTTAAACTTTATTTTTGGTATATTTTGTTTCTGTTGTTGAATTTATTTCCTTCCAACTTGTAAACTTATTCATATTCTTCATATTTCAGAATACTGTATTCTGCCTTCTGTTTTGCTACATGTACTACCTCATGTAGTTAGGCAAGCTTTGTTAGTTTTTTTAATCTGTTTTGAATAAAATTAATTTACATAGTGAGACTACCTTTGACAGCCTTTATTTTTAGAACTGTTTATCCTTCCTCTAGAAGAAAAAAATAACAGCCATGCCAAATTTACTGTTGTTTTCTCTGACCTAAACATTGCAAATGTAGGAACAAGCAAGTAGACATAGTCTGAGGTTCTAAAAGCTGTAAAGGCAATTTAGGCACACAGCTTCCATTAACTGCACTGAGAGTTTTATGGATAAAACATCTGGTCATTTTTTCAAGTTTTGACCAGGGTCTTTGGGAACAGACTGCTATCTCTTTTTAATCACAGAATCACAGACTCATTAAGATTGGAAAAGACCTT